AGGGTGATGGAATAGACTCCTCATAACTGCAAAGTGTGATTAGACTCGTTTGTTTTTCTTGCATTATTCCCATCGATAAACAAATGTGGTATGTAAAGTGCGTAAGCCGTGACTGGAAGATGGCTGACACCAGGGAGGATGCCATGTCCATGCTCTACATCATATTCCTTGCTGCTGTGACTGGCAAGAAAAAAAAATATGGAACATTTGGCTATTTGTGTTATATCTCATTTTTTTGTCATTTTCAATTTTACTTAATACAACCTGCGCCGCCGGTCACAGTGGCCTGGAATATAGTGCACAGCATGGAAACGGCATCCTCCCTGGAGCCAGTGCTCTTCCAGTCACTGCTTAAGCATGTTACATTCCACATTTGTTTATTGATGGGAATACTGATAAAGCTCACTTCTAAGCACCAAATGAGTCAAATCACATTCCAAGAGGTTTGTGCACTTGTGTCGAGTCTTTTCAGTCACCATGATGGTCTTTGTTGATGATGGCATTTCACGTCACCCGGGGTGCGGCCAATTTGCCTGGTTGATGGCATGTTCACATCACCTGCCCCTCAGCTCGAGTTTTTCTGTGACATGACTGCAACATCATCCAGGTCTAATGGGTTATTAAGCTAAAATTACAATGGACATGGCATATATGTCATGCTACCTTCAGTTAATGAGTTAAAATCACATATCTAATGCTAAAGAACAGTCTTAGATGTTTGTTACTGTAATAGCAATGGACAAGAAAATAACTAACAGTAAAGTTACTATTACCCCAATTTTCTTAAACAGATCATGACTCTGTAGACTTAACCCAAATTCAATATCCCTAGACTGAGGAATAACACGACTAAAAGAAAAAGATGTCAAGTTCTAAAAGTAAAATTATTTTCTAACTGATGAATACTTTATATGCAATCTATTTTAAATTAAACTATCTTCTGTATCTTATCTTACAAGTATTCACCTATGAACAACTGGAGTAGATTCAAGAAATGCACCTGCAGTACAATAGCAGCTTGCATATAGATGTTCCCCTTCTCATTCTTTACATTTACATGCAATTTAATTTAACTAAAGATATGTGTAATGGTAGAAAGGCAAGCAGAGAATGCAGGGTCAAAAGCTACCTATGTTTAAAATGGCTGCTTCATAACAAACATGCTTGTCATATATCAAAAGGAAAAAGAAACATAAATACAGGAAGCAAGTTTTACCTACATCACCAGAACTAAAAACTGAGTGAATTCCATCTTAAACTGATATTTTTTCTAATAATTTCATCTATGACATAAAGAGGCTGAAACTGACCCATATATTTTGAACACAAGTGGGATATACTAATAATAAATGAAGTTTAACTCTTCCAATTTGCAACTGAAAATTTCTGTGGGAGGGGTCTTTGATCTTTTTTTTTTTTCAAACATTAGACATTTTCACAAGAATTATGAACAGTCAACAATAACCTGTGAACAGCTGTTTTGTAAAAATAAATAAAATATGGACAGTTGCCTTTATAAACAAGCACATAAAAAAACATTAAACTATGTGCCTTAGTGAATGAACTTATAGTACACAAAAACCTATGCAAGAACCTATACTAAAAGGAATACAAAAAGCTCCTGTTACGGACATCAACCAAATCACTTAGCTCTAAACTATATGGTAAAAATAAATAAATAAATAAATAAGAGTACAAACTAGCTTGTGCATGAACAGGATGCAATAAAAACTTTAAATCCAGAAAAGCATCAAAGTTTTTTTTTATGAAACACGAAAGATACAAAGAGAAATCTTTATACTTCATATGAATATTATTTTCCAAGAAAATATATTAAATTCTCTGCTGTATCCCAATTCAACATTTGTTTCACAATTCTTTAACATACAAAAGAGAAGAGAAATTGTACAATAAAAAATAACAATAATATAAGTAATATAAGTGTGTATATGTGTGTGTATGGGGTGGATGTGGGTGTGTGGGTGGATGTGGGTGTGTGGGTGGATGTGGGTGTGTGGGTGGATGTGGGTGTGTGGTGGAGATGTGGGTGTGTGGGTGGATGTGGGTGTGTGGTGATGTGGGGTGGGTGGATGTGGGTGGATGTGGGTGTGTGGGTGGATGTGCGGTGGGTGTGTGGGTGGATGTGGGTGTGTGGGTGATGTGGGTGTGGGTATGTGGGTGTGTGTGGTGTGTGGGTGGATGTGGGTGTGTGGGTGGATGTGGGTGTGTGGGTGGATGTGGGTGTGTGGGTGGATGTGGGTGTGTGGGTTGGTGGGTGTGGTGTGTGGGTGGATGTGGGTGATGTGGGTGGTGTGGGTGGGTGTGTGGGTGGATGTGGTGTGGTGGGTGGATGTGGGTGTGTGGGGTGGATGTGGGGTGTGGGTGGATGTGGTGTGTGGGTGGATGTGGTGTGTGGGTGGATGTGTGTGGTGGATGTGGGTTGTGGGTGGTGTGGGTGTGTGGGTGGGTGAGAAATTGTACAATAAAAAATTAACAACAATTATAAGTAATATAGTGTGGTAATGTGTGTGTGTATGGGTGGATTGTGTGGTGTGTGGGTGGATTGTGGAGTGTGGTGGGTGGATGTGGGATTGTGTGTGTGGATGGGGTGTGTGGGTGGATTGTGGGTTGTGTGGATTGTGGGTGTGTGGGTGGATGTGGGTGTGTGGGTGGATTGTGGGTGTGTGGGGGATGTGGTGTTGGCGTGGAATGTTGGGTGTTGTGGTGGATGTGGGTGTTGTGGGGGATGTGGGTGTGTTGGGTGGATGTGGGGTCGATGGGTGGAGTAGTGTGTGGGTGGATGGGTGTGTGTGGGATGTGGTGCATGTGGGGGATGTGGGTGTGTGGTTGTGGGTGGATGTGGTGTTTGGTGGATTGGGTGTGTGTGTGGTGTGGGTGTGTGGGTGTATGTGGGTGTGTGGGTGGATGTGGGTGTGTGGAGGTGTGGGGTGGATGTGGGTGTGTGGGTGGATGGGTGTGTGGTGGATGTGGGTGTGTGGGTGGATGGGTTGAGTGGGTGGATGTGGGTTGTGTGGGTGGATGTGGTTGTGGGTGGATGTGGGTGTGGTGTTGTGGATGCTGGGGGTGTGGGTTTGGATGTGGGTGTGTGGAGTGGATGTGGTGTGTGGGTGAATTGTGGGTGTGTGGGGGAGTGGTGTGGGGTGGATGTGGGTGTGTGGTGGATGTGGGTGTGTGGGGATGGATGTGGGATGTGTGGGTGGATGTGGGTGTTGGGTGGATGTGGGTGTGGGTGGAATGTGGGGTGTGTGGTGTGGATGTGGGTGTTGTGGGATGGGGTGATGGTGATGTGGGGGGTGTGAGTTGGATTGCGAGTGTTGTGGGTGGATGTGGTGTGTGGGTGGATGTGGGGATATCTGTGTGGGTGGATGTGAGAGTGTGTGGGTATGTGGGTGTGCGTGGGTGGATGTGTGTGGATTGGGCTGTGTGCCGTGGATGTGGGTGGCCATGTGTGGGTATGTGGGTGTGTAGGGGTGGATGTAGGGTGGATTGTGGAGTGTGTGGTGGATGTGGTGATGTGGGTGGATGTGGCGTGTGGGTGGATGTGGGTGTTGTGTGTGTGTTGGGTGGATGTGGGTGTTTGGGTGGATGTGGGTGTGTGGGTGGATGTGGGTTATGTGTGTGATGTGGTGTGTGTGTGGATGTGGGTGTGTGGAGTGGTGTGGGTGTGTGGCGTGGATGGGGTGTGTGGGTGGTATGTGTGTGTGGTGATGTGGGTGTGTGACGGATGTGGGTGTGTGGGTGGATGTGGGTGTGTGGGCTGGAATGGTGGGTGGATGTGGTGTGTGGTGGATGTGGGTGGTGGGTGGATGTGGGTGTGTGGGTGGATGTGGGGTGTGTGGGTGGATAGTGGGTGTGTGGGGTGGATGTTGGGTGTGTGGGTGGATGTGCGGTGTGTGGGTGGATGTGTGTGTGTGGGTGGATATGTGGGTTGTGTTGGGTGGATGTGGAGGTGTGTGGAGTGGTGTGGGTGTGGGGGTGGAATGTTGGGCGTGAGTGTGGGTGATGTGGTGTTGGGTGGGATTGGGTGTGTACGGGTGGATGTGGGTGTCTGTGGGTGGATGTGGGTGTGTGGGTGGATGTGGGTGTGTGGGTGGGATGTGGATGTGGGTGGGTGGATGTGGGTGTGTGGGTGGCATTGTGGGGTGTGTGGTGGATGTGGGTGGATGTGGGTGTGTGGTGGATGTGGGTGTGTGGGTTGGGTGTGGGTGTGTGGGTGGGTTGGGTGTGTGGGTGGATTGTGGTGTGTGGGTGTGGTGGGTGGGAGTGGATGTGTGGGGATGTGGGTGTGTGGTGGAAATGCGGGGTGTGTGGAGTGGATGTGGGTGTAGTGATGGATGTGGGGTGGTGGATGTGGGTGTCATGGTGGATGTGAGTGTGTGATGGGTGGATGTGGGTGTGTGGGTGGATGGTGGGTGTGGATGGAATGTCAGGTGTGTGGGTGGATGTGGGTGTGTTGGCGTGGATGTGGGTGTGTGGGTGGATGTGGGTGTGTGGGTGGATGTGGGGTGTGGTGGGTGGATGTGGGTGTGTGGGTGGATATGGGTGTGAGCGGAGGTACATGGGTGTTGGGTGCAGGGTGTTGGTGGTGTAGGTGTGAGTGTGGATGTTATGGGCGTGTGTGTGTGTGTTGTGTGTGTGTGTGTGTGTGTGTGTGTGTGTGTTGTGTGTGTGTGTGTGTGTGTGTGTGTGTGTGTGTGGTGTTGTGTGTTGTAGTGGGATGTGTGTATGTGTCAGTGTGTGTATGTGTCAGTGTGTGTGTGTCAGTGTGTGTGTGTGTCAGTGTGTGTGTGTGTCAGTGTGTGTGTGTGTGTGTGTGATGTTGTGTGTGTGGTGTGTGTGTGTGTGTGTTGTGTGTGTGTGTGTGTGTTGTGTGTGTGTGTGGTAGATGTGTGTGTCAGTGTGTGTGTTCATTGTGTGTGTCGAGTCTTGGTGTGTCAGGTTGTGAGTGTGTGTGTTGTCAGTGTGTGTGTGTGTGTGTG